GCATCCCCTGCATCGGCAGGCAGACTCTCAACCACTGCGCCACTAGGGAAGCCCGAGTTTTTTTAAAATAACAGATGTTTACCCTTGTTTCTGTTCATTGCCAGAATTTTTTGCAACTAACCAGTAAACTAGGGGTCAGCTTATTTCCCCAGAGATATGATTACATTAGTCACTCAGTAAATCTTGAATTAATGTTGTTCCAAAGTTTTCTGAGGAACTCATTAGATAATCTCTGGATCTTGGGAAATTAGGCACAGGGCCTAAAGGAATCACCTTCACTGAACCAAAAGGGAAAAAAAATTCAGTAGCAGCAAATATGCTGAAGAATTAACCAAAAGGTTCCCCAAGTCTTAACAAATACGAATTCATAATACACTGAATATTTCTACTATAAAGTAAATAACCAAAACCTATATTTATAGCATCTTATGCTAGATGGGCTGTAAATGTCAAGATCTGGTGTAAACCAGTGATTTACTTGGAGCAGCAGCGTTCTATGTCTAGCAGCCATTGGGGTGATTCTTCAAAAAAGAACCATTTAATAAATGCAGACTTGACCTAATGCTGTAAGGTGTCACTGACAAATATCTATGCTGCTGGAAATTAATGCCTTTCAAGTACTGGATGAAATTGTAGTTCTCCTCTCACCAACAACCTGCATTCACCTTTTTCTCGCATCACATTTGAATCACATTGAGGAGATAAGCAGAGCCACGTTGTTGAATATTCATTAGCTTCATCCCTGCTAGCCCTCTCAGTGGCACACTCTCTCTAGGTTACTTGTTCCAGAGACCACACACACAGGAAAGGCATACAAGCTACTATTGTTAGTCTCCAACCCCACAGAAATACGCCATCCCCACCCCACAACCAGAACTAGAAAATCCATCTAGCATCATACACTGAGTAGGATTAGAATCAGTTCACCCACTGCATTCCCAGATTGATTTTCTATCGCATACTTTTTTTTCATAAAATTTCAAAATGGCCTTCAAAGAAGGTACTAATTACTTCCTTCCTTTAACTGCCTAGAAATGAACTCCAAATATAATAATAACAAAACTTTGCTTCATAAATAAACAAGACTGGTCCTGTCCATAGTTTGTATATTTATCTGCAGCAAGTTTAGAACAAAAAGGTTCCATGGGAAATTAGAGTGATATTAAAAGCAAGTCAAAGCAAGTATCAAGTGCACTCAAATAAGTCATGCTACTAATTAGCAGTAAAGAGTCAATGGAATTCAGAAAATCCTTGTAACTTTGAGCTTTCTTTTCATCAATGTGCTATGGAAGAGAAAGGTTTCTTTTCACTGAGATATATCCTCACTAGAATTTGTTTAATTTCTTTCTAGCAGTGGTAAATGAAAATCAAAATCTAAACCCTGACTCTGAGGCCTCTCAACAGCCAGTTTTCACTGGAATATAAAAATCTAATGAAATAAAGTGTATTACAGTGTATAAAAGTGTATTCCAGCTGGCCTTAGTTGCCTTAAAAACCAGAAGAGCTGTGTGAACCCCTTCATAAATTTGCCCCTTTCAGTGAAAGGAGAGGTTACAGACTACAACAGACAATACAGGAGGGCTGGTGTGGCCAAAGGAATTCTGCTCCATGCAGGAAACACGAAGGCCCAGATGTCCAGTTGCCCATAACCCATCAGCACTCACCTCTTTCACATAGTTTTTATAAAGACTTTGCTGGAACAGTCTATATGCATCTTGAAAACAGACACACAAAAAAGAAAGGATAAAGGGAAGAAGGAGAGGGGAGGGAAGGGGAGGGGTAGAAGGATCTTTTCAAGACTGATTCTTTTCAAGATCTGAGAGTTTGATAACTCAGGGCAATTTGCCCTCAAAGAGCAAAAATATCTTTATATTTATGCTATGGAATGACATACTTAGATAATTAGAGAATGAGTAAAATGCTAGGACCATAAAGTTTTTTCCATGGAGAAATATAAAGTCTGTTTTTATAGCCCAAGTGTTGCCCTTTCTCATATCTTTTCAAGTATTTTGCTTACAGTGAATTTTCCCCGAAGTATTACTTATCTGAGCAAACCATCTGAGTTCCATTAGCAAGGCCAGCTGCAACAAAGGTCAGTTCTGATATCAGCTAGTTGCTATGAAGCAAAGGAAATAAAATTCACCATGACCCAAAGGATCATAATATACAACCATTATATATTGTTTAAACTGAGCACTGAAAAAGAAGTTTTAAGAGTAACTTTTTATGTGAAATATAGTCTATTAGTCCAGTTTTTAATCTTGTCAAATGTATACATTACAGGAGATTTAACAGAGAAACAAATGCTTGACAAAACTTCCATTCCTAGTGTTTGTAGATCTATAAATTCAAATTGGTTATCAAAGGGTTCTTTTTCAACCTGTGTAGAATTTACCTGTCTGATAATTTATGAACACTTGTTACTCAGGTTTAGAGCTCTTTCTGCATCAACAGCAGATTCACACCAACCAAATGCCTCCGTGAACCCTTTTCTCTCAATACTCTATACAACCCCTCCCAGCCCGCTTTTGTAAATAAAATTCTGCTGGAACACAGCCATGCCCATTCATTCACAAATTTTCTATGGCTGCTTTTGAGCAGACTTTAAAAATTGCAACAGAGAGCCTATATGGTCCAGAGACCCTGAACTATTTACTATCTGGCATTTTAACAAAAAGTTTGCTGAACAGCGTTCTATACCCCATCTACCTATCTTTACTTTCCCAATTTTACTCTCATTTCCTACTGAAATACACATTTCTAATGCCTAATTTATTATAAACCTTAATGATCATTCCTTATACTTTCAGTATTTGCCTTGAAAAAGACTTTCAGTAAATTTTAATTCTTTCCAAGGAAATATGAATTGCTGTTACATTTTATAACATAAACCTTACTCTTTATCCTCTGCTTGTTCTACATTTACTGGAGTCGCACTTCCCAGTCAGGCCACATACAATCGTGCAGGTTGCTCACTGCACAAAATGGCCCAGCAAAGGGGATGAGCTGAGGCTGGATGCAGCCCACACATCCCTTTTCTAGTCATAAACCTTGACACAATGCTATAACCTTCCACAGGAAAGGCCACCTTCATTCAAAATTGCATAAAGGTCTCTTCTCCTCATTAAGCTTTGCACCCACATGGTTGATTATGCCAATGTGCACAAAGGTATCATCTGATCCAGCAGAACCCTATGTTCTCTTGTTCTTTTTCAGCAGATCTCTGATAGGATCCTAGGAAATGCAGGTAAAATTCCTAAGTAACATTCTGAATGTCCCAACTTTTGCACAATCTAGCCCTGGTATTACGCACAGGTGTTCAGCAACTTATAGTGATGAAGTAGGAGCTAGAAGTTGAGAGAGAAGATAAAGGTAAGCTGATTAAATTTATGTTGAGGATGTGAGAAGGTTCTTAATAAGAGAGGAAAATAAGGAAAGAGGTTTACTTGCATAAATCAGTTATATCCTGGCCCAATCTCTGTGTGGAATTTATACATTTCTAGAGTTAAGTAACTATTTAGCAAAAAGAAAAACAGAGAAGAGGAAAGAAATTAATTTCTGGGGGTTGGGAGGGCAGTAGTGGTGGAAAGAAACGGTCTATGAGAAAAGGTAGGTAAAATAATGGTTAAAAGGAGGAAGCTAGGAAAAGCTCATGGAAAATTAGGGTGAGGAAAGGTCAATGATGAGAATTAAAGGGAAAAAGATGATTGGACATGAAACGAAGGGTCTGAGTATGGAGTGTGAGAAGAGGTTTTGAGATTTGAGTCACAGGCAGAAGAAAAAGGAGAAGAATAACCACAGCTGCAGTTCTAACCTTCCAGCTAACAAGTAATTAAAGATCGTTGATCTATTTTGTCTTAATACAATACGCAATTATCCTAAATATATAATGCGTGATAGCAGAGCTGAAAGAATTTGTATAGAGATCAGTGTCAGAATTTCAAGGAATTAAATATTTAAACATTTTATAATAGGGAAAGAAGATAAAGAATAATGTACAGGAGACTTCCCAGGTGGTCCAGTGGGTGAGACTCCACGCTCCCAACGCAGGGGGCCCAGGTTTTATCCCTGGTCAGGGAACTAGATCCCACATGAATGCCGCAACTATGAAGCCCGCGTGCTGCAACTAAGAAGCCCGCATGCTGCAACTAAGAAGCCCACATGCCACAACTAAAGATCCCGAATGCCACAACTAAAAATATCCTGCATGCCGCAACAAAGATCTTGCATGCCACAACTAAGACCCGACATAGCCAAAATAAATAAATAAATAAATATTTTTTTAAAAAAAGAATAATGTATAAAGTTAGATTTGCATTTTATGTTTTTCTCAAGAAGTCTCTAACTTTACACATTTGGATCCTTTATTCAGCCTCTCTTGAAATAAATATAATTCTGATTATTCAAACTATTATACTGAACTTATGAAAAGGTTTTGAAGATGATTTATGGCTTACCAGTTAGAAAGTGAATTATTTTACAAAAAAAAATTAAAAATGAATTAGCCCGTAGCAGCTCTAAACTGAACATTACAAAGTGATTATGTGAGTCACATACTTGAGTTTGAAGTATTATCAAGTCTTGAACTAACAAATTAGCTGACTATTCTAAACCCCATGTTCATAGAAGTATTAATGATAAAAAAAATAGTGACCCAAATAGTGACCCACACATTCAGAAAGTTTATGGGGAAAATACCCTTTTTTTTAACTTGTTCCGCAATTTTACAAGGTTTGAAGTGGGCCTCTCCTAAAGGAACCACCCTTCCATTATGGGAGGCCTACCTCCAGCTATGTCACCTCACCATCGAGATCATACCTTACTGTACGTGACCTAAATAGAACGATGGAACCACAAGACCAATTTCAGCACAATATCACATCCAAAAGAAATAAAATTTGGATATTGTTTTGTTTTCCTTTTTGTCTTAACTTTCTTTTGTTACACAACAAATTACCACAAATTTAGCAGCTTAAAACAACAACTCTTAATTCACTCACAATTCCGTAGTTCTGACGTCCGGCATGGTGTGACTGGGTCCTCTACTCAGTGAATCACGAAGCAGAAATAAAGGGGTCAGCTGAGCTGAGTTTTCATCTGGAGGCTCTGAAAAAAGAAAATCCACTTCCAAGCTCATTCTATTGTTGGCAGAAGTTAGTTCCTGGAGGTTTTATGACTGAGGTCCCTGTTTTCTTGTTGGCTGTAAACCAGGGCATCTGTAACTTATAGAGGCCTCCCACTGTTCCCTGACAAGTGGCCCTTTCCATAACACGGCATTTGTTTCTTTAAGGCCAACAGGAGTATGTCTCTGCTGCCTTGAAACTCTGACTTCTGAAACCAGCCGGAGAAAACTCTCCACTCTTAAAGGGCTTCCCTGGTTAGTCCAGGCCCACCCAAGATAATCTTCCTTTTGCCATATAGTGTAATATAATCATCTCATCATATTCACAGGTGCCACCCACACCCCCAGGGAAGAGTATTATATAAGGGTGAGGGTCATTGGGAACTATCTTAGAAATCTACTTGCCAGTTTTGTTCCAATTTTATTCATACTATAGAGTTGGTGATACTGCCATGAAATGTGCACTCTCATATGGCCAGAAACTACCCTCTCAGCAACTTCTCAACATAATAATCCTCCATCAACCATGGCAGTTATCCTCCTGAAAAGCACAGTAGTTGGCAAGACAGCAGTTGGTAAAATCAGGATCTTACAAAGGAAATGATATTGGGGGAGCAATGAAAAAGTCATTAAATATGCATTAGGGTCTGTATATTCTTTACTAAGGCATTTGCTTCCTAAATAAACTATGTTAGTTGGTCAACGTTAAACTGTTTGAATAAACAATTGTCCTGACTCATCTTTGATTATTCAGGGAACAGGTCTGCAGACATCATGATTTGCTAAGATTTGTAAACTTTCACTTGTTTAATTTGCTTTTAAAATTTTACTCTTTTATAAAGCTTCTTGGATCAGCTCTTGCAAGCTTATAAATCTAATATCTTTTGCACTTGCAGTTTCCTTTATTCTTTTTCACAAGTTACCACAAAATGTTTGTGTGGCTCCCTAGCTTAACATGTTATTTTCTGGATCTGATCTATTATCCATATCACTGCACTAGCCTCAGTGCCTATATCTTCAATAAATACTTGTTGAAAGACTGACTGACTGAATGAATGAATGATTGAATATTGAGAGGGTACAGTACAAAGAGATGTCTCTACTCTTTCCTAAATCTAAGTGAAAAGGGAAAAAAATAATTATCACACTCTTTTAAAAGAGTTGGACTGAACTATATATACATAAAAAGATCATGAATTTTTAATTTGGGGCATATTGATTAAAATTTTTTTGTTTATTTCAGAACAGCATCTAGCAGTGGTGGAACTTCTCAGGTATAAATGAAGAAAGGGAAGTGTGATGTGAATTTTATACGTCTACTTGGCTGGACCACAGTGCCCAGATAGTTGGTCAAGGGTGTTTCTGATGAGATTAACATTTACATCAGTGGACTGTGAGTAAAGCAGATTGCCCCACATAATGTGGAAGGGTTTCATCCAATCAGATGAGGATCTGACTAGAACAAAATCTGACCTCCCCTGAGCAAGAGGGGATTCTGCCAGCTTGAGGGCCCACCCTGCAGATTTTAGACTTGCCAGCCTCCATAATCACATGGGCCAATTCCTTCAAATAAATCTCTGTCTCCATTTCTCTTTCTCTCTCTCTCTCTCTCTCTCTCTCTCTACACACACACACACACACACACACACACACACACACACACACACACACTATTGGGGTTCGGTTTCTCCAGAGAACCCTGGCTATTACAGGAAGTCTCAAGGAGGCACATCCACACTCTCAAAGTGGGAGCCTGTTCTACTGGGAACCCTATCTCCCTCACAGCAGCTGAGGGTTTGATGTTGAGCCAGGGTCACCATCTGGGTTGGACTGTCCCTTGGTTAACTTGACATCATTGCCACCCTCTCCAAAGGTCTCTTATGCATCACAGAACACAAACCGGGAACTCCATTTCCAGAATCCACTTCCTTGTATGATTATAAGTTAGAGTCTACCAATGAGAGGCATTTGCGTGAGATCTAGAAGGCAGAAGAGATGGAGAGGCTGTTACCTTCTGGAGGCAGTTGCAGGCAGTTGTAGATAGACACGTGAGCTGACATGAGGATCAAAGTAACCTGAGCTTCTTTCAGAATCATGGAAATCACTGCTGTGGGCTGAGATCATCAGTGCAGCTTTCCTGCCCTTTGCTCCTGCAGTGCTTTCAACAGTTACATACGCCTCTATTTCCCTGTCTTGAAACCCTTCCTATTCAGAATGCACACAATGCCTCTGTGTTCTGACCATACCCAGACTACACCACTGATACATTCTTTTGGATGAAAGGGAGAGGAAGCTCTTCGTTCTTTCCATTATGCTAATCTATCAGATGGGGTATAATAACTTGGAACTCTAAGACGGATCGTAATCCTCGTCCACCCAGAAATTCCCATGACTCCTATGAAAGTGGGTCTACTCTTCACCCTCCTGTCTAAATCCATAGGCCTGAGATCACTGGGGAGAAGCAGCAAGACTCTCTGTAGAGCAGGAATGAGGTGTTTCCCCTGGCAAAAATATCTCCTATTACACTTCCCTTGGAAGAGCAGGTTCCAACCTGTCTTATACAATCGTGATTAAGACACTAAAACCGTTCTTCCCAGAACAAAGAAGATAAATTGATAGTTTCATCTTTAAAAATCAAGTTGCTGACAATACTAGAACAACAGTTTATCCTTCTTAAATATCTGTGTGCATTGTGTCTGTTTTCTTTAATTCCATCTCACAGGTATCCTCTTACAATAGGATAAACCTTAAACTCTTAACTATGACAACCTGGTCCATGTGGCCTCTGCATAACATCTCAGACTCACTTCACTCACTCTGAATTCAGGCCTCATTAGCCTCTTTATGATATGAGTCAACCCTGTTCCTTTGGGTCTTACGGCCTTTGCACATTCCATTCTCTCTGCCTGAAAACACTCCCATGGATTCGGACTCTACCTTCATACCCTTTGTCTCAATAATTTCTACTCACTCTCCAGCTCTCCTTTTAAACATCACTTCCACAGGCAGGTTTCTTCATCCTGTTATTCACACTTATATTATTGCACTTTGCAGTGCTTATTACAACTACAATTTACTAATTTTCAAAATATCTTTCTTCCCTTCTAGACGATAGCTTCCTGGTGTTACATTTTCACCACTGCATCCCTGGTACCTGGCATGTTACGCAAATAGACCTTAAATACGTATTGAATAAAAGAAAAAAAAGAGAGGGAGGGAACAAGGAAGGAAGAAACAAACGAACAAAGAAACGAAGGAAAGGGAGGAGGAGATGTGGTGGTTAAAATTAAATTCACCATAAATCAGTGATATTTCAGGCAGCACTAGAGAAAAAGGAATCTATGGATTGACTGGAGAAAAAAAGACCTTCACAGAAAGCTAGAGAAGTGTTCTGTCTGGCAAAAGATTAATACAGTGCTAGATCACTAAAAGAAACCATGTTTTTTTAAGATGGTGATGATGACAGATACTGGAGAGGGTTCTGTGTTTCATCTGCAGTTTGGGGAAGATAAATAAGTTTTTAAATAAGGTAGGCAGACACCGGTGGGCCAGCAGAAACCGCACTGCCTCCATTTTGGGAAACATTTGGCTGCCACTATTCCCAACGGGCCTCCGAGGACTATGTCAGTGCACAATGGCTTCAGCCTTTTCTGGTTCTTGGCAATATAGAATAGCCTGAATCAAAGGGCAGGAAACAAAACAGTCATGGACTCTTCTCCCCAGTGCACAAAAGTAGCCACTTGCCACATGAAAAGGAAAGAAGAGAATCCATTATGTCGCCTACTGAGAATATGTTTAATGAGAGTAGCTCGTTTGAATCAATTTGTTCCACAATATCTACTCGATTCCTATTATTACTCTCCAACTTCTTCATTCTACCCTTATAACTACCCCCCAAAAGTCAACGTCTCCCAGGGATTTGTGTGTATGTGTATGTGGTGGGTCACAAGCAGAAGGAACTTGGCACCACAATCACAATTAGATAAGTCAAGCCAGGTCAAAGAGAAAGGTCGGGTCAAGAGGAAATGGTAGATACACAGTGAAGGGTACACTTCTTTAGAACTAGATATATGGACACTTGCCAGTGCTACACAACTGCTTATTGTGTGGAAGAATGCCAAAATGTGACAGCAAGAAATTTCCACAAGTAAAAAAATAAAAGTCTTTCTATGAGGGCTTAATGCACTGAAAATAAAAACCAATGCAATTTTATGGCTTTAAATTATAGGAAAGATAACTGAGTGAAAAAGAGAAATATAGCTTAAAAATTATGTGTACTGAAGAAAAAGCATACACACTATATAGAACAAAGGTGCTACATCCAAGACATGTAATATTCTAAAGTGCAAAGTATTTAAATCTTTCCAGTTCTCTGAGGGAATGAAAGAATCAAACATACATATATGATACACAAATACACATTGATGTTATAAGGAAAATAAAGGGAAACATCTTCATAAGGATTTTGATGAGAATTCTTGGCCATGAGACTACACTTTAGCTTTCAGAGTTTTTATTCTCATATTGATTGTTCTTTTCTACTTTTCTTACATGACTCTGTTATTCAGGGCGTCACCTGAGTCTTGATCACTTTCTTTCCTAAATCTGCACAATCTTCCAAGATATTTTCTGTGCTATGAACCATTTTCATTTATTCATAGTAATTGCCAATATCTAATCTATTTCTTTAAATGTTTCAGTTCCTTAAATTTCCTCCAAGCCACAATAAGTCATCCTTCAGAAAGACAAGGGAAAAAAAAACACTAAAAAATTTCTTTAAATATCTATTTCTTCCATGTTACCTATATGTCATTTGGAAATTTTGTCCAAAAGTCCCACTTATAGTAATTATTCTTTTTTTTTCTCAAAGCATGAAGTCTGGCTTTGTATGTAGTTCAGTTTGCTATTGCCTCTGATGCAATATTGTGCAGATTGATTATGCAGAATGATTGATTCTCTCCAAATTTTCACCCATTGTAATAAA